CAAAGATGGCAGCAGAAGAACCAAGTTTTGGCTTAGCAGCATTAACAGTATCCTTATTAAGCTAGCAAACACCAAGACAAGAGATGCATATATAGGAAACAACCAGAGAACTTCAGATTTAACAAACTTAAAACAGTAAGCACCAGACTTGAACCAAGTGACCAAAATAGAAATAACAACTCCAGGGCAGCTCTAGGTCTAAAATCAGATAAAGAAAACATTTTATAACTATCAAATATGATGGAAATTAATACGTGAAATTTCTGTGTGTCAATTAATCTAGCATTTGCATCCCTATTATGTAAAGACAAGAGAGTAGTATAGCGGAAAAAATTCAAAGTTCACTTATTTTCATTTAAAACTTCATATTTTTACAAAACCATACAACAATATTAATTTAAATTTTATACATAATTGTTATTACTCTAAAATTCTTCTTATTCTTGCAGTACTCGTTTAGCACGCATTGATTTTCTGAAGTTCAATGGTGAAATGTCAATCAATGGATTTATCGGTGTGAAACATATTTTTCAATTGATTCAAGCCCTGAAGAGTATAAGGTAAAGTTAGCTATTGTTCAATCTGAAGGAAAAGCGTTACAATGGCACATTGCCTATGCTAAAATCGTAGGAACTGCTGTGTTACCCTCTTGGCCTCAATATACAAAGATCCTGATAGAAAGATTTGGAAATGTTTGTGATGACCCTATGTCAGAGCTGATGAAATTAAGACAAAAAACTATAGTTGTTGCTTATCATGAAGAATTTGATGCTGTGATCAACAGACTCAATTTACCAGAGCAGTATACCCTCAGTTGTTTTTTGGGAGGACTGAAACAAGATATACAAATGATGGTTAAAATGTTCCAACCAACCACAGTTCGAAAGGCATTTACATTAGCAAGGTTGTATGAATTAGCTAACACACAGCCTAATACAGTACCCTTTTCTTCAAAAACCCTTAGGCCTACCCTTGCACAAAAACCCCTAAACACGAACCAAATAGAAAAGATACCTACCACAAATTCTTTATTACCTAAGCCTAAAACACAAACCACCAGAACCCTGACTCCCACTTATATGAGTGAAAGAAGGGCTAAAGGTCTCTGCTATTTTTGTGACCAACCTTTTACCACAGAACATAGCCTCACCCACAAAAAACTACAAATACATGTCATGGAAATAGGAAGTCCTACTGCGTCCGAAGAAGAAGAACAAGAAACTGAGGAAGGAGGAATTGAGTCAGTTGAACCTCAAATATCTGTAAATGCCTTGACTGGTGTTCCATGCTTTAGAACGATGAGGGTGATAGGCTACTATAAAAAGAAACCTATCCACATTCTCATTGACAGCGGCAACACACATAATTTTCTTGATGTGGAGGTGGCTAAGAAGTTAGGGTGTAAAATTGAAGATCTTAAATCCTTACATGTAACTTAGTCTATTGTTAAACAATTTAAATGGACAATTCAGAATACTGCATTTTACTCTGACATGATGTTGATTCCGCTAGGGTGCTGTGACTTAGTTTTGGGCATAGAATGGCTAGTTACTTTGTGGGATATCACATGGAATTTTGACAAACTGAGTATGGAGTTCAAGGCACAGGGAAGAAAACATGTTTTAAGAGGGGCATCATCCTCTAGAGTATCTACAATCAAACGGCAACAAGTGAAAAAACCTTAGCTAAGGGTGTACATATATCCATGCTACAGGTTTGTGATGAAAACAATAGTCTTTTACACTCCCTAACAACTCATGCAGATTCGCAGTCCACCCCTGCGCCTATACAACAGTTGCTATCTGGGTTCCATGATATTTTTCAAGAACCAACTCAATTACCACCTATGAGGCAAGGGTTTGATCACAAGATACCATTAGTGGAAGGCAGTAATCCTGTCAACAAGAGGGCATACAGATATGCTAAGAATCAGAAGGATATTATTCATAGCCTGGTTAAAGATTACTTGAAGTCCGGAATCATCCAGAAAAGTAATAGCCCTTTTGCAAGTCCAGTTTTCTTGGTAGGCAAGAAAGATGGATCTTGGCGGTTGTGTGTTGACTATAGGGATTTAAATAAGGCTACAATCAAGGACAAGTTTCTTATTCCTTTAGTGGAAGATTTATTAGATGAGTTGCATGGTGCAACAATTTTTTCCAAAATTGACTTGAGATCCGGGTACAATCAAGTGAGGATGGATCCTATGGACATAGACAAGACAGCATTCCGAACACATGGGGGCCACTTTGAGTACCTAGTAATTTCTTTTGGGCTTACTAATGCACCAACAACCTTCCAAGGGTTGATGAATGAGATCTTTAAGGAATATTTGAGAAAGTTTATTTTGGTCTTTTTCGATGATATTCTGATATATAGTGACTGTTTGAACAGCCATCTGAGCCACCTCAAGCAAGTACTATCCACTATGAGAACATATTCATTATTTGCTAAGATGTCAAAGTGCTACTTTGGTGTTCACCAAGTAGAATATTTAGGCCATTTCATATCTAAAGAAGGTGTATCTACTGACCCAAGAAAAATAGCTGCAGTGCAGAATTGGCTATTGCCGCAAAACATTAAACAACCCTTTTTAGTGATGCAACCGCTTAATCATTTAGTTAGTTAAAGCTTATAAGTAGAAAAGCTCAAGTCCTGAGCAGAGTTAGTTTTTGTAAATGAATTCTTGTATCCTCTCTTAATACTCAAATCAATAATATTTCTCGGATTCCTTTCTTCCATAGGATTCCCTATTTTCTCCTTTCTTCCATAGGATTCCCTATTTTCTCTGTTCTTCGAATTCAATAAGAATTCCTAGTTCATACCTTTACACATAACACATGGCCACTTCCTCAATATACAATATTGATCCAGTATACAATATTGTCCCTTAACCTCAACCCCTAGTCCCCCACGAAACGTACAAAATTTAAAATCCAACACATATTAAAACAAAAATAAAAAATAGTAACTCAACAAAAAGAACATTTTTTCTAAGGTAAGTTTAGAGAGAAAAGTGAAAAATACCTTTGTTATCGAACTTAGGGTTTTGGGAAACTAGTACGATTTTGTCCGAGGAGAAGAGCCCGAGCCTCAATCAGGACCAAGTCAAGAGGTGAGTGTTGCTGGGAAGAGTGGCGAAGGTCGTGAGTGTTGCTGGGAAGGGGGCGTCAGCCACATTAGGACTTGGTTCATATTCTGCTTTTGGGAAGGGAAAATTTTACAAGCTAGGGCTCATTAAGAGTGAATACAGAAGGGGCATGAGCCATACTAAGGCTCACGGTTCATGTTTTTCTTCCGGGAAAGGGAGAATTGATGAGTTAAGGTAGATGAAGAAGGGGGCGTGAAGCACTCAGGCGCGGGTTCTGTTTAATGTGCGAAAGGTTTTACGAGTAATTTCGACCCTTTTCAGGTTTTATTATTATAATTAGTTTTATTAATAATTTTCAATTCTTTATGTCAGCTAAACGGACACTAATATTTAATATATTATTTTTTATAAAATAAACTAATTGACAAATGGGCTTCTTCCATAGATATAAATTTTTAAAAATATATAGAGTTCGCTAAACCGACACTAACATCTATTATAATATATATTAAAATAAAATTTATTATTTAGCGTCTGCTTTGACCGACGCAAATGAAATAATTACGAAATAAAAAAAATTACATAATTATAAATTTTTAAAAATATATATATTTTTCTAAACCTACACTAACATCTATTATAATATATATTAAAATAAAATTTATTATTTAGCGTCTGCTTTCACCAACGCAAATTAAATAATTATAAAATAATACAAAAAAATTACATTATTTTTGTTTATTGTCTGTCTACAGTTGCCTTAACCGACGTTATATGCGTCTGTTCCACGTCCGACGCTGTGTGGCCAACGCTACTTTCGTGCATTCTTGTAGTGTCAAGGTGTAGGAGTCCAAAGTTACTGGTAGCTTAGAAGCTCATGATCATTTGTGTTCATTAGATCGTTTGAATCCTTCAATCTACATATTTAAATTCATTGCTTGAAAAAAAAAAAAAAGAAGGAATTTTTTTTTATAGACACAATTCAATCCCCTTTTATATTTATACTATCTCCACAATTTGAACTAGAGGAATCAAACAAGTTAGGTCAATCCAATCTAATGAGACAACACATATAAAGTGAATTGGATAGGGTTGACATGAATTTTCAACGACCATTAATTCTTTAGCTTGGCCTAACTCATTGGCTCGACAACCTGGGCTAAATTGGCCCATTATTTTTTTCCTATTTTTACTTAATTTTTATAGAGAAAAAACAAAATAAAACATTGGACCAACCAGGTCTAGTAGGTTTTGGGGTCTAACAAATTTGTCTATCCTAACCCTTATGATTTGACCTAACTCTTACAATTTTTTTTTGAAGTCAATATGACGAATCATTTTTGACAATGCTAGTTTAAATTAGACTTAATTTTACTTTTACACTCCTTATAATTATCAATATGCAATTTTGATTCTTCATTTTTAATTACAAAGACTAGAACTCGTGTCCTTTACTACCAAAATCATTACTAAAACCACCAAGCTACTTAACTTTTATAATTATAATTTGAAGAATATATTATTTATAACATTAGAACTTGTGACCATATCTAATGTTAATCTAGTTTAAATTAATAAATAATAAATTTATTTAATAAAAATACTACATTTTAGTAAATCAATTATACAATATATTATTTAATATATTTTATAGTCTCTAAAAAATATTATAAAAAAATTACAAATAAAATAAATAATATAATATTAGTATATATTATTCAATATATTATTATTTTATATTGTATATTATATTGTATGCTACACTAACAAGTGGACTATTTTATAAAGTTTTAATTTAAATTAATTTTTTTCTGTTGTTTTTTAACTCTCTAACACCTAGTCAATGTTTGATTTATTTTATTCAAATATTGCCTTGAAGAAAATGCAGCTCTAGAGCATTGCATATTGAGGAAGTCTCACAAAAACCCCTGCCCACGAGATGCAAGTATCCAAATACAAATCCAATACAGAGAATTTTCACAGTACTTGGATCAATCAAATACAATCAATTAGCACCTCAAACGTATGCTGGACATAGCTTCCACCAATTCCATAATGTAAGCTCTAAAAATTTCATCAAGTGTCACTCACAAAGGCAAACAAAAACATGCCCTGGTGTTGGTGAAAGAAAATTGAATAAAGGAATTCAGACCTCGAGGTATGAATCCTTAGCACAATTTATCCAAAGGCATATTTCACTGTTACACACTTATAATACAAGGAAAACTCAAATAATTACAGTTGAGAAAATAATATTGAAGGAGGTCCAATTACGTTTCTAAAGGAGCTTTGTGATCAGGTCCAGCAAGAATAATCTGCATTAGAAATTTAGCAATGAGGCCCAATAAGTTACAAAAATCATAGAAATGAATGATGAGTGCTTAAATTCTAAAAGACATTAGTCTCATTTGACTCCTCTAAAATGCAGGGTGCACTTCAAAGAGTAAAAGTGTAGATGAAAGCCATTGATTGAAAAATTAACAGAGATTGTGATAAAATACATGCACATGTATAAAAATAAGAGTAAATTGTATCGATACCTCCTCATATGAGGTTCTGTGAGATTGCACACATCCATTACTTTTTAACATCTACAGTAACCTTATTTTCAGGAGTTATAGTGTAATGTTTTTCAAACAATTAAAGGTGTTAGTATAAGTGTAGAAAAATAGGTGTGTGTGCAATCTCACGAAACTAAGAGGAGTGTTTATGGAATTTACTCTTAACAATAATGCATGAAGCTGTTGAAATCTTAAGTGTTGCTTGTCAAATCATAGTAATCAAAAGCTATCATTCTGTACTTAACATTTCCAAAGTGCAACCCACTTTAAAATAGTCAAATTTGTCTCGGCATAAATCTAGTGAAAATAGTTTAGGGAGACATACATTACAATCAAATGCAAACCTCCTTGCAAGCATGATGGCTGCATTCCTCTCTCGCTCTGACTCAAAAGCTAATACAAAAGAAAGACCTTGCTTCGGTTGCCAAAACACTGCCTGTGCTGCAGCATTCCCACCTCCTCGAACTCCACAAAGCTAAAGAAAACAAAAACGCACCATATTTTAGTGTATAACAACAAACTAGACAAGGGAAGGAAAATATGAAAATCTTGAACAGAAAAAACTAGAGATATTTCACAAAAACAATGATAGCTAAATTGCTCAAGGTATATAGATTGCCAGATAAAAGGTTAAAAATGTATTTATCACTCAATAAATGTAAGGATCCTTTCCTTATTTATGACCTTTTTGGGTAAAATTCTCCGGAAGTACTTCTAGAAGAGAAAAATAAAAAGAAAAAAGGAAATAAGTTTTTTCATAAACTGAAACTAACTTATGCATAAACTAATTTGTAGAAACTCTCTTTCATTAACTTATCCAAAATCTTATTTTTAACTCATGCATAAGCTAAAACTACTAGCTTATAGATAAACTTATTTCAATTTTTCTTCTTATTTTCTTTCCTTGAAATGCTTATAGAAAAACTTACACAAACAGGCCCTTATTAAGACAACAAAAGCTGAAGAATGATAGAACAAGAAAAACTAATTTCTGAGTTGTCTCTGATAATTATCTATCACTGAGTGCCCACAATTTGAAATACCTGCATTGAACTAGAATAGTATTCTTTGGTAATTGTTGTCTTTCCTTTACAGAGCTTCATTCTCATCTTTCCAATATGAAGTACATGAATAGATTCAATTGGATTGTCTGAGCCAGTCTGAGTTACAACCACCTGCAATGTGTTAAATTAAACTATTATTATAGTCACTGAAGCTGACCATTTTCCAAAACTTCTAACATTGAAATTTTGACAAAGCAACACACAACTACAGTTTACTAAAACCAATGAATCTGATAATATTTTTGTAAAACTTGTTGCATTGAAATGTTAACGGAGTGCGAAACAACTATAATTAACAAAAATCAGACACTACTTCAAATTGAAATTCTTTTACAAGACTGGAGGGACATGACAATCATAACTGAACAACAAGCTCACAACATACGAGCACATCTTGTACTGATATTTTAAATATGATTGATGGTATCAAGGATGGCACAAGACAACTCAATCAAAGAGACTCATATCATGTCAAAGAACTATTAGACTTCATAGTTTAAGCAAGTGATAATTCTCAAAATCAGACTCACCTGGTAAATCATACTTTGATGCATTGTCAAGGAATCTCACAACTTAGAAGGTTAAATTTAAAGTATTGATCCCCGAATTAAAGAAAATTGATTTTCAACAATAACACCCTCTAAATCTAAGAGTTGCTTGTTTTGCATTATGTTATCACGAGAATTACTTCTATAGAAGGCTCCTTTGCAAGAATCACAACCACAACAAAACCAATTCAACTAGTATCAACTTTAACTTTCTTCTATTAGCAAAACCCCCAAATAATTGTCTCACATCCATAATATAGTACGTAACACAAGGCAAAAAATAAACGCAAATTTGATTGTTGGTCAAGTTCCCATTACAAGCATAAAAAAAGAATGAGCTGTTGTTTACTTATGTTGGAATTAAATTATATGTTAGCATATGGGCCTGTCTATTAAGGATAATATTACATGGGCCCAGCAAGAGTGTACTACATCTGTATTTAATGCAATCTGAATAATATTAAATAAAGGAGTCAGAGGCCTGACAAATTGAGCCAATTTAGAAACTCTAGCTTTCTCTCACTTCTAAAAACTTAGGAGTACTTTATGCTCCACAATCACATGTTAAATGAGCTATAAAATAGATGTCACAATTAATGAATGACAAGCTTATATAACAACTCTAATAATTAAAATGACAAATTCAGATTGGTGGTTGCATACAATTAGCTAACTATCAGAGGAATAAAAACATAAGAGTAAAAAATATCATAATGACATACATTGAATTCAGTGTCATGTTTTCGCACAAGTGCCTCTACATAGGTTCCCAAACCAGCAGCTGAAAAAAAATTAAAATCATTTTAAGTTCAACTTCGTTGGCTAAAGAATCAACTCCATCTCTTTATATTGGTAATATAAAAACGTATAATTTAAATATAAAAAAGCACACAGAAATAATTCCTGTTAATGAATACTAAATCAAAAGAGTACTACTAAGCATGGGAACCAAACCTGGATCAATTGGACCAGTAGTTGACAATGTAACCTTCTGGCCTTCTGAAATAATATCAACTTGCAACATACGTCCAACATCAAAAGGTTCGGGAGCAAAAACTGATTTGGTAGCTCCTGATAACGGGAAAATTATATTACAAGATAGGCAGGGACAGAAAAGATTCTATATATGACATTTAATAAATCAATATTCCACCACAATGCATCCCGAATGGCATGCCTTATAGATTAGGCTCTTCCAACAGTTAAGACTAGCTAACAAAATGTATAATAGCCACAGAAATAAAGCCACATGCTATGAATTATAATGAATATAGTTGTATAACCAGAGACAATCAATGTAAACATCTACAATAACAAGTTTAACCAATGAGAATTTCACTTGGCAAAATCAGACTTGTCCATAGAGGCATGACAAAAAATTTGCTCCTTGAACAAGGGTATTGGTGATAATCTGAGGAACATCGAATTTGGGGAAGTGAATGGCAAAGCAGGTAGGTATAGGCGTACAGCTAATGTGGAGCAACTGGTGGTTGTTTCAGAATACTTTGGAAACACAGCTTCGTTTATCTTTTACTGGTGCAATATAGTTTTGCATGGAATCTATTATGCAGGGGTAAATGAAAACATGCTATAATTTATGTTCAGAAATTAAACATGTAGAGAGCAGCCAGCAGGTAACTTCACCTAAAGCTGAGATTGAGTGCTTCCTTACACCTTAAATACAGGAAAGCATATGATGCATTGTAATTGACTGGGATAAAGGAATTCACACTTGTGTTGTACTTGTCATCAGTAGATTTCAACCGTTTGCATTTAATAGTACATACTGATAGAGTAAATAATCAGTGTTATTATTATGGCATTGTACAATAGTTTTCTATACAGTCTGGTGTTGGTTATGTTTGTATGATAGGAGTCTCTAAGTTTAGAGACTAGAATGACATATTACAGATTTCATATCAGAAACCTTTTTGTCTCACTCTTGAATTCTTACACACATAGACCAGTGTGCGGAGCTTTCCAAGAAAAGATAAATGTCCCATTCAGCTAATTTCAAAGAGAATTGTTTTGATACGACGCAAAATAAAATCTGTTGCTTGAACAGTGATCCTTTTCCCATCTTGTTGTCATATAATTGCCTATTCCTTTTTCACTTTGAAGTTTGGAGACTTGCGTTCAGTTTATGGTTTACAGGGTTTAATACAGGAAGGTGGAACACTTGAGAAGCAACCTGATATACACAGAATAAGACAGTGACAATGTACGCAGATACTCCAAAGCTTAAAAGTTTATTTGTCAGAATAATAGTTTCAGCAAGTAGCAAAGGAAGTTGGACTCTTTTTTTTTTTTTATTTTGGAAAAAAGGATACTTTTCTTACTATAAAGCAATAAATATGATAATAATCATAAGTTGTTACTTGTTAGGTAACCCCAATTAGTTGGCTACATTACTTACTACTTAGTTAGGTGAGATAGTTTGAATGAGACCTGTTGCCTGAAAATAAGGGAGGTTGAGTGGTTGAGAGAGAGATCATTCATTTTGAGAAAGGATTGTACACTTAGAGAATGGAGAATGAACAGCGTTCTAAAATACCCTGAGGCCTGAGTACTCAAACAAAATTTATTCCTTTTTTCTAGTTTCTGATCCAGTTCCTATCAGATGTTTGTAGATATATTATCAAAAAGAGTATATCAATTTTATTTTGAGAGTACTTTGTATCAAAAAGAGTAGGTTAGAGGTTGCTTAATTTGCTATAATTCTATAAACACTATGGACAGAAATCTCATCAAAAAAAATGTTATGTTAATATTAATACCCAACCGTGGTATACCAGAAGTAGATAACAACAGTGCAAGTAATAAGTCAACTGATTTGCATGATAAACATTAAAGAAAAAGGAAATCCAACAGAAAATGTTAACTTCAAAAAGCTATTAATATTCAAAGTGCAAAACCTTTGGAATTTGTACCTGAAATAAATTCCTTTTTAGCACTGTCAGTTGATACACGATACCACTGAATTGAACATGTTGACAGTTCAGGGGCATGATCAGAACAAGGTTGAATTTGCAAATAAGAACCTAATGTTTCAGTTCCTTCTAATTCATATAAATGGGGAGCATTTTCCTCTCCTTTCTTTGTCCTTGCTATCTGAAAAGTGAAATGAAAGAAAATCAGTAGAATTTAATATGGAAGACAATCAAATTGCTCCTGAATTTTATCAAAGAAACATATCAATTACTTCAAACAAAAGTAAACTTTAATAATGATAAATTGATAACCTAACAATAACCATTACCACATATCTCACCTTATAGCCTCAAGGAAGGAATATGGAAGATTAGAATATTTTTTATTTCATTTTATTCATTATTGCCAATAAATGAAGCCCATCAGGTGAGAATTTGACAGTAAGATACTTGTGTGTGTATACAGACACAATCAACATACACATACTATACACACACATATTGCATACTGCAAAATAAACTATCACTTCCCAAAGTCTTTTACATCAAAGCAGTGTATTTCATAGAATCAGTCAATGGCAATAAATCACAATCACTTCAAAATGACATAAGTGATAAGATCATGGGCATACCTCCTTTTGTAGTCGAAGATAAAGTCTAGATTTCTCTGCAAGTTGAACTCTCAATGCTCGAAGCTCGTGTTCCATATCCATAACCTAAATCAATATATAAACAATGCATTTATTTCCTTCAAATTAAATAGCAGTAAAAAGTGTTGATATCATGAAAATATAATGAGGCTAAGAAAATAGTTGGAAGAAGGCAATTCTACACAGGAGAATAATATCAATAATGTATTGAAAAAATTACTGCAGCCAAAACAAAACACATTTCCAAAAATGCCCTGTTTATGGATCCATTCAACACCTTCATACTCAGATGTAATATCTTGCACTGATTCAAATTCTTTGTTGTTTCGCAAAATTTAAGTGGCCATACATCATTAGTACATAACAGTACAATCGACCAGATTAGTAGCTACTCTTTAAAACCAGAAAGACAAATAAATTGATGGTATAATACATACATACACAAGATAATTACAGTGCTTAAGAGGACTGGGATAAATCAAACTTTAACCAAATAAAGAAAAAGGGGCAAGAAAAATTATAATATAATGTACTTCACATACTGTATATAAATAGTAAATACAACATATTTTTCTTATATATCAAAAATTTCATCACTGCCTCCAACCTCTTTATAGTGAATAAGAAAACAAAGAGACCAGGCATACCATAATATGGTGGCATTAAGTATAGAAGAGAACATACAAAATACAACACCAATAAGTATTGATGAAAACTTAAAAAGTAGAGATGAGGTCAGGGAACTACAATGAAGAAAGAAGTTAAAATAATAACAATTGATCTATGAGAGATGAAATAAGAACAAAGGACCAAAGTATACCTTGCTTGGCTGATGCAGCATTTTGATTCTCCGAGCCTCTTGAACCTCCTTCATTAATTGTTCCAGGTCCTAAAGTTCCCATAGAACTAAATTTTGTTAAAATGAAAATTACTTAGTAGATACAGCACTGCAATATAAAAAGTTAAATATTTCAATGCAAGCAATCAGTATTATGATTAGTAATGAGTTTTTATTTGATAACTTCTTATAAAATAAAATAATGTACAAGAGAAAGTGAGCAAAAAACTAGAAGAATATTGAGAAAAAAATGGGGCAAAAGAATCAAGTTATGCATAAGACTGTTCAGTCTCTCCATACATCAGAAATGATGGAAACACATTTGAAACAGACATCAGCATAGCACAAAAGAGAAGCAATAAGCACTGTGACAAAGCAAACTATGGTCAAAGATTGGCCCTTAAAAAAATGCATTTTTTCCCAACTGCATACACCACCAGACATCTTATTCCAAAGGATAAGCCGCCCTACAAATGCAATCTAGAAATATATGGGCCACTAATTGAGTATTAATATTTATTCAGTAATGCAGTATAGACATTAGATGAAGACCCATGCCATACAGGGAATTTTAGATTTTCAAATGAGGTTGTCATAAGAAAACTTCCCCATGTTACGAGACAGTACAAGAAATTGAAAATACTCAGGACTTGAAACACACTCCAGAAGAAAGAGGGATTGAATCACACGCTGCCAAACATTCAGTTCTCTTCAAAAGTGAAAATTCCAAGAAAGATAAGATTACAATCATGAATACCAATATACTGTATTTTTCGTGATGAACAATGTAAAGAAGACAAAGATATAGACATGGAAATACCTCTAAGAAGTATTATGCCATACTAAGAAAACAAACAGAAATTTGGCACCCAAACATCATCCAAACCAAAAGAAATAAACAATGCTCTAAAAGAACTAGATTACCATCAGATAAATTTGCAAATAGAGGGCAACTGAATATTAAAGTTTAATTAACTAGTTGGAAATATCCACCAAGGACCTACCTCAATAAAGGACAAAATCAAACTTGAAGCAATTTATATTCACTGATAATTTTGTATATCATTAATTGTTTAAATTTAAAACAAAATAACAAATCTATTTGAATTGAAAATAATTGATATTAAGTCAGATGCACTTAACATTATGGCAGAAGGAAAGATCCAAACCTGCTTCCCTGAAACACGAGACATACTCTCATGCTCCTGAAGTGCCTCTTCCACTCTTTGCACTGCTGCCCTGGCATTTTCTATTTCAAAACGAGCAAAAGCTCTTTCCTCATTCACAAGTTTCTTAGCATCTTCAGAAGCCTACAAATGAATCTAAACTCTCAACAATGGAAAAAAGTTTCTTTTGTCACTCTGCCTTTCATAAATAATGAAGGATACATAATGCTAATAAAATGTTGAATAGACTTTGAGAGGTTTAGTTCCCTGGACAAATTAGGTAGGCAATAGACTGATAGACAGACAAATTTGCAGCACAAAACACTTTGTTCATTGCGTATACATTGTTATTTTATCATATGAAATAACTACAAATTTGCTATATGTTGATATTGAGATCACAAATACACTAAGATCATAACTGCAATACTCTAGTCTCTCTAAGACTCGGAAATATTATGCTCCTTAATACATGACACTTCAAAGTTTATGTTGTCCTTTGATGTCTGCAGTTGAAGCAAAGCACTTAGAGGTCTTAAATGAATGTTTACATAAATGCTATTGTTGGTCTTCTTTTGCAGCTGAGTTTAGAGCAAATAGCCAAATATAATACTTTCCTTCTTAAAAAACCTTCTTTTATTTAAATTTCTGCTTAGCTGCTTGAGGATTTATTAAATGCAATACGGATGGTGGTGCTTTGGACTTTCTAGGACATGTTTCTTGTGGTGGTATGGGATAGCTTGGGCACATTTTTAGGGGGTTTTGCATCTTATATTGGTATTCACACCGCTCTTTATGTTAAGCTAGTTGCGGTCATGATCACAGTGGAACATGCATATGAAGTAGGTTGGAATAGACCTTGGGTGGAATGTGATTCTATGTTGGTTTTAGCTGCTTATGATAATCCACAGTGACCTGGAGAATTCATAGGTGGTGGCTTAAATGTCTCTCCTTATGTGGTCACGAGGTTTTATATATCACACATTTTCAGAGAAGGGAATCAATGCACAGATAAATTTGCTAACTTTGCATTAGTTAATCGTTCAGTGTTTGTCTAGTGAGATTTTTACCAGCTTTTGTTTGGGACTCCTTTTTCCGTAATAGGAATGGATTTCCAAATTTTAGGTTGTGTTGATTCTTGCACCTTGATCTTTTTATTTAAAAAAAAAAAAAATCTGCTTATATCGCCCAAAAAAAAATCTAACAAGTTAACATCACCTGCTTAAGAAAATTTGTTAGCTTCTTAACCTCAGCCTTCTCTTGTATTAGTTCCCCTTCCCTTTGAGTCAACTGAACTGCTAGAGCTTCAACCTACAGAATGTACCAAATAGGCTACAGTTGATTAATCACAAATAAACTGATGCAAGAATAAATGAACTACAGAAGATTGTGACTTTTGCACAATAGAGGTGGAGCAATGAATCTATTATGTACATGAGAACATCAGATAATGCAAAGTTTAAGAAAAACTATCCTATTCATCCCTACCATGAACTCACCCTCTCCCTCCTCTGTATTTATTCTGACCATTCTTCACAGAAAAAATAAAAATAAAAATACAATGGCTCTGCAATCATGTTGAATATTTGTTATGAAAATCCTCAAGAAAACTAAAAACACTCAGAATAATACTTTGATGTATATTATATTATTATACAAGAATTATTATTCACTCCTTATTCACCAACTACACCATACTGTGGCAATTATTTTGCACTATGAAAGTTGCCAATGACCCTAAAATGAATCAGCAACTCAAAAATTAATGGGATAAGTTGCTGTACCCTAAAATAATCTATTATAAATACATGATGAACCTAATCAATGCTAACAAAAGACCGTGACTCACATATTAGGCCAACAAGAAATTGGTAAAGTAAGTCCAATCACTTATCAATCAAAATTGAGTTTAAAGAGCAGTCAACATTCTGAAGAAGTCTGACAATATGGAAGAAGTACTCACATCTTGGTGAACAAAAAGGAACTCTAGTAAGGACTATTGAAGAGATGCTAGTATCCTCAACTATCTCAAACATAAACTCATGCTCATACTTTAAGACAAATAATTATCTTCTCAAGCTAAAATAATTCATAAACCAATTCATTAGCCACCATCCACTACCTATAACCCAAAAAGCCTCTAAAATTTTGTTGCCAGATTGTAGGTGGTCTTCCCCGTTGGTCTACAATACTTTCCACTCAGCTCTCCTAGTCCTACAAATATGAATCTAATCATTCTAGATTATGTCTGTATTGTATAGCATAAAATTATATCAAATACAGTCATCTATGATTTTAAGCATTCATATCTTCTCATCACCAACTAGCAGTTAGCATTACATCACAGTTTTGTATTTTATTGTTTTCCACTTTACGCAATGGGATTCACACACAACCCTGGTGTCAAGCAAGAAAATGTTGCTATTTAGATGGATCCTTAAAAATGAAGAAAGAGCACAATATATGAAATTCTCGCATATTCCAAATAATATTTTTCCCTTCATTTTGTTTCTTAAACTTTAAGGATACAGACTAATTGAGCCTAAAAATACCCCTTCCCTCCCACTCCCCAAAGGAATTTAACTTTTACAGAGGATAAGGTACCTGTTGACTGCAGTATAATGAACATGACTTTATATTATAATATCTACTTCATATGAATTCTTTTTCAAATAACAGGATAAATATGAAAATAAGTTTGTTAGGTATAAGTACAAACAATGCACATCTAAAAAAGGAACTAACCATAGCAATAGCTTCCGCTACATCATCCTTGTTTCTTCCTGCCACTCTCCCTTTTAAGGATTGCAGTGCATCTCGGAGCTTCTTTAAAAGAACATGCTTTTCCAGTGAAGCTGCTTCTCTGAGTCTAGCCTGAATTTCAGCAGCATACAAGAAAGCTTAGTTATGATAACAACATGAAATTCTTTGCAAATTATGAGTACTTATAATTTCAAATGAAAATATTAAAAGAAAAAACAAATAATAGAATCCTCAAGTTGAAATGCCCCCAAAAACTAAGCATTACATTGGTATTAAAACAAAGTTAGATTTAAAATATAAAACAAGGATTACCTCTTCAGACAACTTGGCAGCAGCAGCCAAACCCTTCTCAAATTTACTGGCAAGATCGCGAACCGACAGACGTTTCTGCTGTTCCAACAGCTGTGCAGTCTCGCGTGCAACAACCTCCTTCATTGATAGCACTTTTGGATCATCCTTGGTCTCCATGATCTGATTGTTAGCTCCAATTTTGTAATTAGGAAACCGAAGGGAGGCAAATATTACATCTGCCGACACGGCTGGCACTGCATCCTTCTGCATAGTGTCCCCAAAATCACGGGTCATCCTCGTCATTTTCAGGATCTATTACCTCTGCCATTCACAATAAAAATGCAGTCTTTAGCAACAATAATTGAGCAGATTGCATTCCATTTAAAGCAGTGCAATGAATTTTCAAAAACTAACCAAAAGAAAAGAGGAACATTCACTCACAGATATGCATAAACAGAATAAAAAAACAACCAAAAGCATACCCCAAAATTAGAAACTAATAAATTGAGACACCACTACTCCACTCACCCCACTGAGCTTATTGAAATCAAAAGCAAAATCTGACAGCTGGTAACAATGAAACTAAACCCTAATCCTACTGCTTATAACATTTTTTTTTTTTTACTTTTTTTTTCTCAAGTTGAAGCTATCAGGGAAAAGCTACCCAAAAAAAGACAAAAACAAAACTTGAACTTACAGATCATGAAATGACAAAAAATGGGTACTTGAGCTTGGGATTCTTAGATCAGATGCAAAGGGGTTGCTGAAATTTTGCTATCCACCAACAGGGTAGCAATGAGAGAGAGAATGTGGAAAGAAAGCTGGTAGCTTTGCTTTTTGAAAGGAAAAAGAGAATGGCGCCCCAGAAGGTGGCCCCTAAACAAGTTTGTGTTTTAAGTGTTAACGTTTTCGGTTGTAGTGTTTGCAATTTTCCATGTTGGATTCTCTCTCGTCCATGCCTTACTTATGCTTTAAACTCAAAACTCTTTGGCGGGTCCCAACCAACCCTCTCTTCGGTTTACTTCACCGTTTACTCACACTTCTTTCCACTGTTTTTTTTTTTTTAATGAAGTCTTCAAGTTTTAAAAATTTGAGAAAACATACAAAATTAGTCCTATATTTGGATTGCAGAATACTATGATATTAATCCTTAAAATAATAAAAAACATATAATATATTTTTATAAGTACAATTCACAATCATATTATCGATTTTCATTAGTTTAACCAGTATTATAGTTGGTCTTTAAAGTTTTAAATTCAAATTTTAAGTTAAAAAAATAATATTAAGAGAAATGAATTTATCACGGTGAATATTTTGAAGAGATTAGCCACTGGTCATAATCGAGAAGTTAAAATGAATGATTACTTTTATAAATTTTGATGGATATAATTATCACATTTTCTTACTTACTTTTTGGTCCAATTCTTTTTTCTCTTAAAACAATATAACAAATAAATATAGGGAAAAAAATCTTATAGAAAATTAAGGAGTTTAATTTTATATAAGAGGGGGAAAAATTAACTTTTAAAAATAAGTTGTGTGTATTATTGATTTCTCTCCCTCACCCGATCCAGGTGTGGCAATAAAATAAAACTTTTAAATTCATTAAGGACTAATTGGTTGTAATTTCAAAATCAAATTAATGCACATTATCACTTTCAATAATAAAATTACTTTTTGCTTGAAATAACACTTGTGGCAATCTTTTTTGTTTTATCCGTAATTATTATATAACTGAAGCAATTGGCTATTTGACTATTTGACTTGGCTTTGTTTAAAGAAAGAAAGGTGTTTTGAATTATTTTGTTGAAATGCATAATAATAATGTCAGGGAAAACTTCTCCAAATCATGAGTTACTATATTCTTCTGGAAGGTGTTGTTTTCATTGTGTATTCAAATTTCCTTGCACTTCTTGCTTTCAATCATCATCTATCCTCTATCATAAAGTTGTTACTTCGTTAGTACCAGATACTCTTGTAGCTTTCTCTCTCACTCTCCAAGTCCCTCTCACTATTAATTTCTTTCTTTCTTTTTCTATAATTTTTCCAACTTTACATGACCATTTTCACTTCATATTCAACTTGTTCTTTCTATATATAAAAAAAATATATATCTTTTAACAGGGAGCTCCGGGTTATTGGTAAAATTGTTGGATGATAAAATAATATCTTTTCATAAATGATTTTCAAGTATTATTATAAATTCAAGTTGATATATAATTCGCTATATATAAATTGATAATTTGTACTGTTTTTATTCTCCTGGTAGGATAAACTAGTATTTTAAAAATAAAATTATTTGAAAGTTCAAACATGCAATGTTGTATGAACATATTTAACATGTATAAAAATAATATACCATACAAAATTCTAGGGCTCGCATTCTTTTTTACCATTTGATAGAAGTATTCTCAAACTTCGTCAGGACTCTTTTTTTTTTTTTTTTTTGAACTTTAACTGTATTAAAGTTATTGATCATAACATTTTTTTTTTATTAAGTTCAGTATTCAAACTTGAAACCGAATTGTAAACTAGTATTATTTCATAAAATGAAAAATTTTTGCAACAAACATTGAAACGATGTAAAATTATAATTTTCACATCAATTAAAAATATAAATAATGTTAAAATGTGTACTTTTCACATTAGTTAAAAACTTTCATTAATATAAAATGTTACATTTTTTTTACGGGTTAAAAACCTTAATAAATAGAAAGTGACACCTTTTAAATCAATTATATTTTTAATCAACATATAGAAATTTGTAATCTACAATAGTTATACTTATAAGTGATATAAAAGATTTTTATAATATTTTGTCTATTTTTAAATTCTAACTTGTACATAACAAAAATACAACAAAAGTAGACTGTGTATCTTCTTTAAATACTAAGAGCATCTTTAATGACTATTGCTTGGAAAGTTGCTTAATCCAAACAATAAATTCATCAAGAAAAATTTATCATTTGAAAGAATCTTACGTGGTATGAGAGATGCTTAAATTTTTCTTTGGATTGTTTGTATAAGCAACAATTGCTTAAATAAAATACTATTAGGGAGTGTATTGGATTAGGATTTTAAAGGATTTTTTTAGTTGAAAAAAGTCCTGTGGATTTTAAGACTTTGCAAGATTTTCATGACTTTTAAGATTCTTCAGGATTTCACAAGACTTTCAATCAGGATTTTAATGGATTATGCAAGACTTTTAAGTTAGGATTTTAATGGATTATGCGGGACTTTGTGAACTTTGTAGAATTTTATAAATTTTTGACATAGGATAAGAATTCAAGATTTTTTTTTCATACATTCAAATTTAAAATGAGTCAAATATAAAAATAATAATAATGTCTGGATAAATAATATAATAATTGTTTGTAATATCATGTCGTTCTAAATAGAATTCACCCACATATTCATAACTACATTAGTCCTCCAAACATTAGTATTTTTTCTCTCTTGCTCCCGTGTTTTAATAATAGACTCAAAACTATGATTTTCATTAACCAGTAATGTTAAAGATAAAGGTTCGTTCATCACTTCAATTGAAAATTCCATAATGACATTTTTTTACAAAAAAAGTTATGTAGTTCCACACATGCTAAAAATTATTCTAAACAACATTTCAAAATTTTTATAATCTGTGATTTAAAATATTTTATTTATAATTTTATAAATGATTAAAAAAATAGTGGGACAACTACCCTACTCTCTTATAACTAAATATGTCCATTCATTTTATATCGGTACTAAAGTAGAAATTTACAAACATCAATTGGGAGAAAAAGAAATATATCTGAAATTTGTTACAAGTACAAAATAATTTTTAAAATTTTTAATTGCTTTCAATTATTCACTCGTGAAGAAATATTTTTAGTATTAAATTATAAGATATTGTAATGTCTTATGTTAATTTTATTTTTTAAAATATAAAAATCCTAATTTCATAATAAAAAAATTCATAGTAGAAAAAGAAATAAAATAATTATTGTCATAAAAGGGGAAGGATAACAATAACAAATTCAAGAAAGGGAGAGAGATCGCAGTTTTTGTGCTGAGAGGGTTTTTCTCCCAATTAAGATTCATTCTTATCTCATTCTACTTACATAAACCCTAACTCAAAATTCATCTTTTACACACACACACACACATACACATATATATATATATATATATGTATATATATATTATTCTAATAAATCTAAATTGATTACAAGGTCTTGAAGATCTATAGTTAATTATAATGATCATGATATCAATTTTAGCTTTCACCTTTCCTTTTTCTTGATGCGTGGTATAAAAAAAATTACTACTTAAAAGTTAAAATTTAAAGTATTTTTTTTGTTATATAACTGAGGAACAATCTCAATTAAATAGAGCAAAATAGAACAAGTCAATTAAAGAGAACGGAGAGAAAAATAGAGTAAGTTAATGACACTATTATTTACGTATAGAAGTTTCACCAAATAGGGAAATGGAATGGGAATAGTAGTACAGTATTATATATAAGTAGCAGTGCGGTATTATTAACAAGAGAAAAAAAATAGAGAAGACATGAGCATAGAAAAAAAAACGATGAAAAACTCACTTGAAAATTCTTGAAGCACTTGAAAAGTCACTTCAAACAATCCTCCAAAATCTTATGGGTTTGGATGAGGTTATTTTATGAATTTGATATTTATAGATACTACTAAAAAGTCCATCAAAATCCCTCTAATACAACAATCATTTAAAATCTCTATATTTTTTAATACCAATGGATTGTTTTTAAATTGTAAAAAGTCTCAAATGAATACTAATGGATTTTAATGGACTCTTTAAAAAATCTTGAAAATTTTGACCATTGAATTATTTTTAAGTGACATAAAATTCTGATTGAATACCAATGGATTTTTTTACTAAAAAAAAAAAGTCTTTTAAAATCCTATAAAATCCTAAATCAATACGCCCCAACCTCAAGGGTGTGGTTCAGCGGTAGGGTTGATCCACGCTTAAGCAAGGTCAGGTGTTCGAAGCTTGCCTTGTGTATGCAGCCGCGTTAAATCTTGGGGCCAGCTATCCCACCCTTTGAGGTGCCTCCAACGTAGCGAGGAGATTAGTCATTGCTATCGGCGGTGGATACTTCAGGGACGAACCAAAAAAAAAAAATCAATACGCCCCCTAATTTTTAACTGAAAAAAGAGGAAAAGGGGAAGAGAAGAAACTCAGCGACAGTGGAGACGGGGTTAATAGAAGCGTGGTGGTGACGAAGGTACGACAGGAGGCTTGGGAAGAAGAAAGAAAAGGAATAAGAGAGAAGAAAGAAGAAGAAAAGAAAAAGAAAGAGAAAGAGAGGCGTGGGAGAAGAAGAAAAAAAAGAAAAAAAAAACCATTGGTGATGGTGTTAGAAGAAAAAAAAATTAAAAAAAAAAATTCGTCAATGATGGTAGAAGAGAAAAAGAAAAAATAATATTGAGTAAATTTTTAAGTTAAAAATTTATTATATATTTAAAATATTTTTTTAAAATTAAATAAAATTATTACTTGATATGTAATAATTAAAAATAATTTTTAATTTATATGTATCTTAATTTCAATGAAATTCAACATTAAAAAATTATAAAATATCAAATTCATTAGAATTGTTTGAAGAAATTCACTTAATAAAAAATAGAGTAAAATTATTTAATAGCAAACATCTTTAAAGAGTTGTTCCTATTAGAGATCTGTACTATATATTTATATACTAAACAATCTTTAGTGTACCTAAATACAATTCAATCTGGCAAGGACCTTGTTACCATAAGACCCAAATGAATGAGTAAACAACTCAAGGACGTGATATGTTAACCCATTTGGAAACTCCAATCGCCCTCCCTTAATCCATAGTACCATTTCCCCCCTTCTTGGGCCTTTCTCCCAACCTTTGTCTTTACCCTTAGATCCATGGCCATTCTTTTCTTACTGCCA